GAATGTATCTTCCCATCAGATTTATCTCTATCTATAAAAGGCAGGACTGGTCAGCTTCAACGCTTCGAAGACAAAACTGCTCTCTATTAATCACCACAGAGAGCCTTCCCTTCCCTCCATTAGAATGTCTGACGCTCAACTTCTCGAGAGCAACTCTCTGCGGCTTCTCGGTCTCACGTTGACTGCTGACCTGAGATGGAATAAATACATCGAGTCAATTGCCTCGTCCACTGCGAGGAAAGTTGGCTCCCTGAGCCGCGCTAGGAAGTTTTTCTCCCCTGAGTCGATCCTCCAGATATACAAATCCACAATTCGCCCTTGCATGGAGTATTGTTGCCATATATGATCTGGCGCCCCTTCTGTTTGCCTCGAGGTTCTTGATAGGCTCCAGAAGCGGATATGCAATATGGTTGGCCCCTGCCCTGGCGTCTCGTCTACAGTCACTTTCTCACAGACGCACCGTCGCCTCCTCTGTCTGTTCTATAAATACTTTCATGGAAATTGCTCGAGGAACTGCATTCGCTGGTTCCCAAACTTCATGAGTTCTAGTTCGAGGCTGGCATCCCGCCCTTCACTGTCGAAAACTCCTAAATGTAGCCGTCACTTCTACTCTAATAGCTTCATGTCTCGCACCTCTCGCCTGTGGAACTCTCTTCCCTTCTCCTGTTTCCCTGAGAGTTATAATCTCCAGCTATTCAAGTGTAATGTCAATCGACATCTCCAGTTGCCTTAATCTATCTACTACCTTCATCCTTTCTTCTATCACTCCTATCTGATCTTCCTATTTTCTGTAACCCCTTGCGTCCTAGTGGCTCCCCGCCTTGCTTGGGGGTGAAATGCTTAAAAAAAAAAAAAAAAAAAAAAAAATGTGTGTGTGTGTGTGTGTGTGTGTGTGTAACGAATGCACGGCCGCAATTTTCGACGCATTTGCACCAAAATTTACAAGCACATGCTCCAAGTTAGCATAAAGGCCAAGACCAACTTTGCATTTCCGGTTTTCATGTAGTTTCAGGCCATTTTGTACTGGCCAGAGTGAGAGCCAATAGCTGGCTGCCACGAATAAACAAGAAGATTTTATTGGCCAGCGTGAGAGCCAACAGCTGACTGACACGAATGTTAACTAGCATACTAGCATGCAAAAAAATCGATAGCAGCATTCGTCACAAGTGGGAAAAATTTTTAATCTGCATGGCACTTTACTCCAATTGGTTCATCCGCTGCTTAAACTCAACGTTGATTCTGATTCCGCAGAACTGGGTTGGGTGTGAAAAAAGTATTTGTTGTTAACATTCTTTTTTCATTCGGTTTTTCAGTTACGAGTCCTTTTTTTAAAGCTGATCGTTTTGTGCTCATTTTGTTTAGTTCTTTTTTTCGTAACAGATTTAATGTTTAGTATCGAGCTTAGAAAAAAATCACAGTGTGAAATAGGCAAGTAAGGCATGTAGCAACATTAGCACGACAAAGGCACTCCTTTAAAAGGCAAGGAAGGGCAAACATATTTTAAGTCAAGTGATAGCGATTGCTGTATGAGTTGTACGATTTTTGAATCAAGCACTGGCAACGCCGGGCCTTGCTGCTAGTTCAATCTATATATTTGGCAATTCTAAGAGAATTTTTGTTCGTAATCTTTTTGCCTTTTTACTGTTAATTTGCCTTGAATATATGGTTTGTTTGCTTTATATTATTTCAGTATTTCTTTTTATTGCAATTTTTTTTAAATTCTGTTTGTTGGACAGTCCTGTTATTTATTTTGCATTTGACTATGGCTACTGAATACACATTTTTTCCTTTTCTTTTTATTCCTTTACTTTTTTCTTTTTCTTTTTTCTGTCCTCTTTTTCTTTCCTCTTTTTTTTGCCTATTTTCTTGCCTTTTTTTCTTTGCCTTTTTTCTTCCACATTTATTTCCTTTTCTTTTTTTCAATTAATTTTACCTTTTCTTTTTTCTGTTCTCTTTTTCTTTACCTAATTACTTGCCTTTTTTCTTTGCATTTTCCGTTGCCCTTTGATTCCACTGTTTTTTTCCTTTTCTTTATTCTTTTGCCTTTTTCTTTTCTTTTTCTTTTCTTTTTTCTTTTCTCTTTTTTTTTTGTCTTTTTTCTACCACAGTTTTTCCTTTTCTTTTTTCCCTTTCTTTTTCTTTTTCCCTTTTTTCCTTTTGTTTTTCTTTTTCCCTTTTTTCCTTTTCTTTTCTTTTTTCCTTTTTTCCTTTTCTTTTTCTTTTTCTTTTTCCATTTTTCTTTTATCTTTTTCTTTGCCTTTTCCTTTTTCTTTTTTTCTTTTTGCTTTGTTCTTTTCTTTCTTCCTTTTTCTTTTCTTCTTACATTTTTACTCTGTTCCGTTTTTTCTTTTTATTGCAAATATTCGCCGGAAGTCCATATATGACAGAAACAATCGATTTTTGGTCGGATCTGAGTCTTCCAGAAGTTAGGAAGGAGAATCAGCCTAATGAGCCACATAACAAAACTTATCATCCGATTTCTGATGAATTCAGCGCGCAGCTGAGCTTGTTTCATAAATGATGTCTATTAAAAACTCGTCTTCCATTTGAAATAGGCTTTGTCGTCGCTGCCTTTGTCGTTCTGTTGCTAACCTTTTTTATTCCGAGAGATATTTCACGGCTTTATTAAAGACACAATTTAACATAGTGAAAAATAAACGAGATTTATATGATATCAGGAGTAATCAATGAATCATAGACACCATTCAATATTTTAAAAATCATAAAGGAAATAAATTAATTAAATTTTTCATTGGCTTCCATTTTACTTGTGAATTCTTTATCTCTCCTTATTGAATCTCATTACATTGTAATCTTTTTGGCAAAGTACTAGAAGCTCTTATCCAAGCTGAGTTAGTTAAACATGCCTTCATATACACCCTTGTGCAAATTACTTGAAACAACTGCTTCAGTTTCCTTACTTTCAACTTATGGTCAGCTTTAGACCCAATGAACTGACAGGTTGTCATCGATTTCTTTTCTTTTTTTTAATCTCCGATTAGATCATTTGCAGCGGTGTGCAGTAATATGAATCTATTTTCTCGGTGTATGATAAGATTTGTGTGGCTTAGAAAAATAGTGTGCAAACCGTGATTGCATCCGATTTTCCTCACGCCCAGACACTATTGTCTTGACTGTCGATTAGTTGTCCTACGGTCGTTTTCTACGATGGAAATTACTCCATGGACGCGTATTAAAATTGTAACGCTACACGAACACATTGCCAAGTCAGGTCAGGGTTTAGGAGAGAAATATCAAAATACAAAATTTTTGTTTGTTTTAATGAGATAGATAGAAATAGGACAGGAAATTGTGGAGATATGAACAGGCTGAGCCATGATCTCCAAGGTCCTGAAAAGTAAATACGAAATTATTCGTTTTGTTTCAATTAATTTGCTGTACAGATAGAAGAAAAGAATGAGAAACTTGTATAAATGGAAGGCAGGTCGACTCCGGGTTTAGGAGAGATATCAAAAATATGACAAAAATTTACTGAGAGTTTTGTTTCAATTACAAAGGACAGGAATTAATATATATATATATATATATATATATATATATATATAAAAAAGAAATTGTGGAAGCATTTGTTTTTAGAGGTTTATTCAATCCATGATCTCCAAGGTCCTGAAGAGATACGCTACATAGAAGAAGAAGAATAAGATTGTTAAATCGATGGCAGGTCAGGATTTAGGAGAGATATCAAAAAGACAAAATTTACTGAGAGATACAAAAGACAGGAAATTGTGGAGAGCCATTTACATCGATCTAAGTTTGATTCCCATTTGAGGTGTTGTGAAAAAACTGCAAATAGCCAAGATGGCGTTCAACATCAACAACACAAAAGAAAGAAAGAAACAAACTCACTCTCGAATACCTCTATCTTACGCCAGGTAGTGACTTTTCTGAGATCATCACGACTATAACTGTTTTCTCTCATGACGGGCGAATAGACAAGATGTTCCCTTCGGTTAGACCAATTATAGACTTAACAGCGTCTACCGTAAACTTTAAGCTCAAAAAGGGAGGATTTCTGGACTTAGGTTTATCTGGAATTGTGTCCTATTTTTGGTGTAGAAACCCGGCCCCAAAGTTTGTAAAAGTATTTTTGGATTGTACTTCGTCTTGTGCACTTAACGGTATCTACCGTAAAATTTAAACTTAATTTAATGAAGGATTTGACGACATATGTATATATGGACTTTTGTCCTTGTTTTGGTGTGAGGAACTTGCCCCAAAGTTGGTAAAAGTATTTTAAATACACCCTATATATATATATATTCAATTACAGTTTTGATTTTAAGAATACTACACTTATAAAAAAAAGAAAATAATTATAATTCACTCAGAAGGAAAATCCCCGAGAGTGCCGCCATTAAATATTATCCAAATAATAATCTACGCCCAGGTTTTTCCCAATAACACCTTTCCTAACAGAATTACTACTCTCCCAAGCAACCGTACACAACTGTATCAAGATATCAAAAGAAAATTGTTGAATCCGTCAACGCAACAACAAAAACAATATTTCCACACGTGACAGTAACTGACGTAATTTTTAGTTGACAATATGAATATGATAGCGTTTTCTAAATTCTTCGAGTTGCGAAGAATATTTTGTTTTGTTATTAATAATCGCTTTGTTTTCAATAAATTCACTTCGTGTTTGCCTTGAAAAAGTTCACATTACGTGTCAGCTAAGAATACAGTTTTCCTATTGTCATATACATTTATACATTATATATATATATATATATATATATATATATATATATATATATATATATATATATTTTTGCTCTAGCCGTTACCATAGTAATTTTAATTTTAATAATGAATATGCTTATAAAAACGCGTAAATTTCAAGAATTAGTTATTCAAAAAAGATTTCGCTTGAAGATGGAACAGAGCTTGGTACTTTAATTCAATTTAATTCAAATAATTATATTGAAGTTTTCGGATCTTATTTGAAACACGAGAACTCTTATGTAGCGATGGAATCATATTTTCAAATAAATAAATAAATAAATATAGATAGATAGATAGATAGATAGATAGATAGATACCTAGTTAAATAGAAATATACATAGATGCACAGAAAAATACAATTATACATTTATTTTAATTAATGCAATTTAATATTCGAAACAACTTTAATGACTGTGTTTAATTGAAATCAATTTAATGTAACATAAATCATAAATATTTAGAATTACTATTTGATTGATGGGGACTTTACAAAAAGTGTAAATCGGGGAGATTTAAATTTTGAAAAAAGTAAAGAAATTTAAAGAAATGTTAAAAATCAGAAAGATGTTAATAAAAAGAATAAAAACGAAAACGTAAGAGGTTAGAATATGAGAAAACATATGAAAAATTCCGTAGCCTAATGAAACAATCTTACCAGAAACAATACCAGTATAAAACATAAAACGTAGACTAATGATACAATATTGACCGGCAGAGGTTGCCGTTTTCTGTATGCTCTCTTGAGGTTTATCCGGTCTGCTCTGGCTGCTTTAAAAAGTTAAGCACCCTCGAAGATCACAGCCCACTTCTGGCCACGATCAGATGCTAGGGACTCTCAATCATCAAATGGTACACCAAAATACGCCAAACTCTCCTTGACAGTATCGCAAAACCGTTTTTGGTTTTTGGATTGTGCCAGAAATAATCTTGCCAGAAACAATACAAGGTTAAAACATAAAACGTAGACTAATGATATAAAATATTTATCTGTGTTAATAGATATTTATACGAAGCATAAACAATATTTTTAAATAAATTACATGCAAGTAATTAATATCAAATATTAATTACTTGCATCCTTCACAAGATAGTCACCATATTTATTGAGTCACTCTCCCTATGTCTGTCCCTATCTCTCTCCCAACGCCCTCTCTCTCTCTCTCTCACACACACACACACACACAACACACACACACACACACACACACACACACACACAGACAGATGTTGATTGTGTCGTCTTGCCAATCCTCCATTGATTGATCGCCCATGAACTTGACTTCTCATTCTTCACAGTGACTTGCATGTCTTGTTGCAGATTTGGCAATCATGAGAATTGCCATTGGTTGAGACAATAAGCACGGTGTTGGCATCACTAAACTTTCATGTGACGCTTGAGCCCACCAGCTGATCGGCAGACTCTAGAGCACTGGCTATATGAAAAGTTTCCATCCCGGGACTCAATGTACGGCATGGAGAGACAACAAATGTAGTTGGAGTGTCTTCGTACGATTTGGCAGCAGGCCTGTTTGACATACATACATACATGTATATATTTGTACTTACTTTTTATTTTGGGGATAGAAATGTTTCAGTCTTCTGTCACGCCTATCCTCTGCTAATTCTGGGCTGTGGCTTCAAATACATGCTGATAGCGATGTCTTGTCAGATGGTTGTCACTCCACCATTGATTATCCGTCCGTGAGCCCATGGATGACTTTTAAGTCTTGTCAGCGACTTGCATGTCTTGTAGTAGATTTGGCATCCATAAGCATTGACGTTGGTGGAGACAACAGACACGGTGTTGGCATCACTGTGAACTGTGGCGTTTTGAGACGACCAGCTGATCTGCAGACTCTATAGCACTGGCAGTATGAAAAGCTTCCACCCTGGGACTCAATATGCGGCATGAAGGATACAACAATTGTAGTTGGGTTGCTTTTATGCTATTTCATATGATTAACCAGGTCTGCCTTAGACAGCAGGGTAAGGTCACACATCTCACACATCTCCACAATTGGCTGGCAGATGTTTCCGTTATCTGCATGCTCTCTTGCGCTTTGCTCGTTCTGCTCTGGCTGCTTCAAACGGTCAGCACCCTCGAACATCACAGCCCCCACTGACCACGATCAGATGCTAGGGACTCCAAAATACGCCAAACTTTCGTTGACACTATCTCGAAACTGTTTCGTGCTGTGGTCTAACGATGAAAAAGCTGTTTTGGAAGTTTGGAATCATTAAGCCGAGCAATTTGACCAAGCCAACCCATCTGGTTCCTAAACACAATTGCAGCAACACTGACTGGTTTGGCTTTGGTCAAGACACCTGTATCTGGAACACGTCTGTCCCACTTGAGACTATGAATAAGTCTGAGACAGAGCTGATCGAATCTTTAAAGCTCTTTTATTTGTAATTGATACAAGATCAAAATTTCAGAGGCACAGTGTAAGGTTGACAACACACATGTTTGATACAAAGACGCTTTAGTTGCCAAAGTTAAATCACTATCCGACCAGACTCTTATCTTCTAGCTTACCAAGGAACCCAGACGCCTTGATTATTCTCTGTTTGATTTCCGCATCAAGGGCGTTATCATTTGATAATTGACTACCAAGATAGACCAACTCTTTGAAGACTTCAAGATTTTTCCCATAGACAAAGACGTCAGGTTCCACCTAAAGTTCGCCAGAAGCGGGAGTATATATAAATTTGGTTTACTTAATGCTGAATGTCAGTCCAAAACAGGTACGAGTATTAGTAAAATGGTCCATCACTGACTACTTTTCCTCTGGATAGTGTGTAACTAAGTCGGCATCGTTGGCATATAGAAGCTCCCTAACAAATCCGTCACTAACAGGGGTTCTGACTTGTAAATTCATGGGGGGAGGATAGCATATTTTATCTATCTAGGTCTGTGTTTCCGTCTTTTCGCAAGGATGTATTACCCTACATCAAATTGAGTAATTTAGTATATGAGTTTAATTGCCAGTGCTGGTTATGTGGGACGTTAACCTTGCATTTGGAAACAAGAATCAATCAGCATGTACCTTCCAAAAATACGACTTGGTAAGATAGATAAAATATACTATCTTCCCCCCATGAATATGGAATCGGCTATTGCTCAACATTTAGTTGAGAATATAGCCTGCGCCAAGTCGTTTAAAAAAGAGTGGTTTAAAATTATTCATACAGCCGATTCCAACAATCATTTGAAGATTTTGGAATCGGTCTGCATAGGATTAAGGAAACCTTCTTTCTACCGGCAGAAAGAATTTTTAAAGTCTCTTAATCTGTTGGGGGATATATTATTTTAACTGTCCCTCGCTAATTTATTTACACGATTATTTCCCCTCCCTTCGTTACAAATATATACACTTGTTTGTTGTTTTTGTTTTTTTTAGTGTGTTTCCCCCCTCTTTTTGCTCTTTATTATCGTTAATATTCTTTTCGTTGATCCAACGATAGTCTCCTGATGAGATGTTGGTTGAAAGGGCCTTAGGAACTTTTAAAATTAAAATCAATACATTCCTTGTTTTTAAAACTATATATATATATATATATATATATATATATATATATATATATATATATATACATGTTTCATTAAATAACATAGACAAGTGATGTATATTTATTTTATGTAAATTATTTTCATAACGTCTATTTTCTTTCATATTTTTTAATCCAATCTAAACTTTCGGCTTACATAAGCCATTATCAAAGATGACAACTATTGACAATATTAAGCAATACACTGAGAAGAATGTGATGATAGTCTGTTTCTGTTTACATGGATGGTGTATATACATATACTAGCAGCATGGACCGGCGTTGGCCGTGCTTGATTCAAAAATCGTACGACTCATACAGCAATCGCTATCACTTGACTTAAAATATTTTTGCCCCTTCTTGCTTCTTGCCGTGCTGATGTTGCTACATGCCTTACTTCTTGCCTATCTCACACTGCGAATTTTTTCTAAGCTCTATACTAAACATTAAATCTGTTACGAAAAAAGAACTATGTGACACCATTTTGGAAGCAAAGAAAAGGAAGAAAAAAAAAAGAAAGGAAAAAGAGAAAGGAAAGAAAGGAAAAGAGAGGCGAGACTTAAGCTTAGATGATAAAGGAAACCACCCACGACCGGGACATTGACAATGTTATTTTGATAGTAACAAATGGTGAAAGGTTTCATTGCCATTGCAGAAAATAATAAATAGATAAAAAAAATTGACTGTGTCGTGGTGGCGGACTTATATTATCGGGAATAGATAACAGCCACTTAGTGTTGGCGAAAATCTAATTGACAAATTCCAGACCGGCTAGCTAAACTCCGGGACATTTGACAATGTTATTTTGATAATGGAAAAAGATGGTCAAAATTCTGACGGCCAGTGTCGTAGGACTGCCTGACAAGGGCCAGGTGAATACAGAGCTTTGGATAGATAAGAAAAATTAACTGTGTCGGGGTGGGGGAACAATATTGTCGGGAAAGGATTTAATAGGTCATCTGTTAACCGCACACGAAGCCAACCCTGGGTTAAGTCTTTGCCGTTTTGACAAGACATCTGTTGGTGTTAGAATTCGGTTATGATAATAAAACTATGTTATCAGAAATTGGCACCAAGAATGCAAATACGGCTAGGACAATAAAACTGTTTTTTTCGTGACGGAAATTGGCAGTGTTTTGCTGGACGACCACCCATCCTGATAATTGGCAAAATCTGACTGACGAAGTCCAGATGAGAATTGAGGTTATCACACCACTGGTCGCATCGTTCTGTTGGCGGCCAGAGAAGAAGAGAGAATAGAAAAGAAAAGGAGAGGAAATAGAAAGAAAAAGAAAAGAAAAAAAGATTATTTTTTTTTTTGAGCAAGATATATTTTATTCTTAAAACAAAGCTAACCGGATCACACCCACCCGGTGGGACGCCATTGGCCGAATGTCAACGAGGGCCGGGAGGAGGTGATCACGTGACGCGGGGGGGGGGAAGCCCGCCGCCGCCCATTTAGAGGATAGGTATGAGAGGTTGCTGCGAAGAAGTGGGGAGAACCGTTGACGCCCCTCCAAAGCATGGTGAGATATCCATATGAAATTAAGAGAAGGTGGGAGTAAGAGAAGACTTCCAAAAATGGAAAGGAATGGAAAATTCCTGACCGAAAATAAAAGAAGTGAATATGGATTTAGAATTATCAAGGAACCTCAAACCCCAACAAAACCCACCCCGGTTTTCGTCGGCGTCCATATAAGCAAAGTCGCAGCGAGCGAAAATCAGTTCAGTTCGGTCTCCGGTGTTCCAGAGTTCAGTCTCCAGTGCTCAGTTGAAGCGGGCCTCGCAGAGCTGACTTGAAAGATTCGCGCAACTTCCGAACTCATCTTCAATCCAAGAACAATTTATTTTTGAAAAGCGACTTAGATTCATACCACCAACACAAGTTGTACGACTATCGCCTGAAGACACACCAAGAACCAATTTCTTAAAAAACAGACAACTTAAGATGTTAAAACTCACCTAACAGAAACAACGTGTCACAATCCATATAGCGGGTCGGGAGATAGACGCAGTCCTATGTATCCAGCAACCAGATATAAAGTATTGTTATCCTTTTTTTTTGATACCTTAAACTTTTGAGTTATCATTTTATTTTCTTTTATACATATTTGTGCGATACCACCCTCATTTGAACTCAATTTGCATTACGGCCCCAACGACTGATTGATTTCGTCTGGCTAAGATCAATTCACAACGTGGGTAGGCGGACTGGAGATCAACGCAGTTACTTTGGTAACCAGACGTTGGAAGCGAGTTGGAAACAACGAGGCTGATATCGGATCTGACCAGATTCCCGTCCGAATCACTAAAAGGTTAGAACGTCACATTTGGGTGCTGCGACCAATACCAAGCCAGTTGGTTGTCACAAGACGGGACAACACGACTGACGCAGACAGGCGGACGTCACGTTTGGAGCGACAACACCCGAACGAAGCAGCGAGGAGCGAGCAAGGCTGCAGGGGGACGTCACAACTAAACAAAATGAACGCAAAACGATCAACTTTAAAAAAGGAATCGTAACTGGAAAAACCGAATGAAAAAAGAATGTTAACAACAAATATTTTTCACACCCAACCCAGTTCTGCGGAATCAGAATCAACGTTGAGTTCAAGCAAGCGAATGAGCCAATTGGAGTAAAGTGCCATGCAGATTTAAATTTTTCCCACTTGTGACGAGTGCAGCTATCGATTTTTTGTTTGCTAGCATGCTAGTTAACATTCGTGTCAGTCAGCTGTTGGCTCTCACGCTGGCCAATAAAATCTTCCTGCTTATTCATGGCAGCCAGCTATAGGCTCTCACTCTGGGTAGTACAAAATGCCCGCAAACTACATGAAAACTGCCGTAGAAGCTTGAAAAAATCGATTATTTCCACTATCGATAGTACTTGGGAAATGTAAAGTCGGTCTTGGCCTTCCCGCTAACTTGGAACAAGCGCATGTAAATTTTGAATAAAATGCGTCGAAAATTGCAGCCGTTCTTTTGTTACACACACACACACACACACCCTGCCTTATATATATATATATATATATATATATATATATATATATATATATATATATATATAAATATAAATATATATATATATATATATTATATTTATATATATATAATTATTTATATATTATATGCACGGTACTTATTAAAAGCGCTCAATATCAGAGATAGAGCTAACATATTTGGTTGGATAGATGTGAGTTTGTGATCCTGGGTTTCACGCTTTTGCGATCGTCAGACAAACTGATTAATTTTTTTAAAATGTTGGGTTTATGCAGATTGCCTGTATTGGTGTTATTATGAGACTGGGGGAGAATCGTCGTCGTGATGTGACTCATACTAACGCAAATAGAGATGCATGTCCATACACCCGTTGAGGTACGCAGACACACATACACACTTGCTTGTCCGCCGGGACTCATACAGATACAAACATATGTGGACAGTTTCGGATTTGACATATGTATGTATATGGGTGGTGTTGTGTCTATATCTATCTATCTATCTATCTATCTATATATATATATATATATATATATATATATATATATATATATTGTTGTGTCTATATATATATATATATATATATATATATATATATATGTCCTTGCAGGAATTTGCCAATTCTATACGCTCTGTAAGAACAAAATATTACAAAATAAAAAAGGACTGTTTCTAGCATCTAAATTGTCCCCTTTTCCAAGAGGAATGCGATTTTTCTGTGTTGATGAATATAGATAGCGTTAATCGGGATTTGTGATCTTCTAAAGGTTGGAATGTTTTATTAGAAATATAAAGGAGAAAAGTAAAAAAATGAAGCGAAGAGGATAATGTCGCTAATGCAAGTGTGGGTGGTGTCACAGATACAAAATAGTGAATTTTATTTTTCGTTAGAGACTGCTATGTGGTGAATAGATGGAACCGTTCGTGTATACGCTTCTGTGCCAAGATATTTGAATTCGAACATGCATATGCATTTCTATGAGCCAATGAAGCTTAACGGACAAAATGGGAAGTAAAATGAAGCTAGGAGGGAAGGAAGGAAGGAAGGAAGGAAGGAAGGAAGGAAGGAAGGAAGGAAGGAAGGAAGGAAGTGAGAGTTGGCGGGAATTATTATGAAAGGATTAATCGGTAAGTGGATTAAAGTGTGAAGGTTGGTTAGAAAAAAAAAACGGATGATATCCACCCTCCATACTGATTAAAAGGAAAGTAACGTAATTCTAATAAAAAAAAATCCTCGCCGCAAATAATAATCAAGAAAGAAAAAAAAGAAATAAACCCTGAGATGAAGCGAGAGAGAAGGAGAAGAGTGAGATGGAGATATATAGAAAGACAGAGAGAGATAAAGAGAGGGAAAGAGAGGGAGACAAGATGATGAAAAAGGGCAAAATGTATTTGCAACAAAGAATGAAAAAGATAAGGAAGAAAGGAATACAAAATGTGTTGGCAAAAAAGAAAGAAAAAGAAGAAAGAAGAAAAGAAAGAAAGAAAAAGAAAGCAAACAAAAAGAAAGAAAGAAAGAAAGCAAACAAGAAAGAAAGAAAGAAAGAAAGCAAACAAGAAAGAAAGAAAGAAAGAAAGAAAGAAAGAAACAAACAAACAAACAAAGGCAAAATATGTTGGAAAAGAAAGAAAGAAAGATAGAAAGAAAGAAAGGTAAAATGTATTTGTAGCAAAGAAAGAAAAAGCTAAAAAAAAGAAAGAATGAAAGAAAGAGAGAAAGGTTAAATATCTGGCAAAAAAGAAAGAAAAAGAAAGAAAGAAAGAAAGAAAGAAAGAAAAAACAAATAAAGACAAGATGTGATGGCAAAAAAGAAAGAAAAGAAAGAAAGCAAGCAAGAAAGAAAGAAAAAAGAAAGAAAGGCGTAATATTTTGGTAGAAAGAAAGAAAGAAAGAAAGAAAGAAAGAAAGAAAGGTAAAATAAATAAAGACAAGATGTGATGGCGTAAAAGAAAGAAAAGAAAGAAGAAAGAAAGCAAGCAAGCAAGAAAGAAAGAAAGAAAGAAAGAAAGAAAGGCGAAATATGTTGGTAGAGAGAAATAAAGAAAGGTAAAATGTATTTACAGCAAAGAAAGAAAAAACTAACAAAAGAAAGAAAGAAAGAAAGAAAGAAAGAAAGAAAGAAAGAAAGGCTAAATGGGTGGCAAAAAAGAAAGAAAAAAGAATAAAGAAAAAAAAGAAACAAACAAAATTGTCACATACGACGTTAATTAATGGAATTGTCCGTTGATGTAAATAAGCCGAGTTAAGAGGAGTTGAGGTGGGTTAGAATTATGTCAATTGCTAAGTGTACCTTCTTGTATTAAACGTTTTATTTCATTACTTACCTACGAGTTTTGTCTTCCTTATTTATTTTAATCTCGAAAAGCCGAGATACAACATTTGGCGACGGGGATGAGATTTGTAACAGTTGGCAATAAACGATTCAAGTACAACGGAAATAAATAAATAAATAAAGAAAGAAAGAAAGAAAGAGTGAGAGAGAGAGAGGTGAAATATGATGGCAAAAAAGAAAGAAATAAATAAACAAGGAAGAGAAATATGTTGGAAAAAATCAAAGCAAAAAGAGAATAAAGAAAGAAAGAAAGAAAAAAAGAAAGAAAGAAAGAAAGAAAAAGAGAGAGAGAGAAAAGCGAAATATCTAGCAAAAAAGAAAGAAAAGTGAATAAAGAAATAATGACAAACAAATGGAATTTTATGTTGATGTAAATAAGCCGAGTTAAGAGGAGTTGAGATGAGTTAGCATTGTGTCAATTGCTAAGTGTACCTTCTTGTATTAAACGTTTTATTTCATTACTTACCTACGAGTTTTGTCTTTCTTATTTATTTTAATCTCGAAAAGCCGAGATACAACATTTGGCGACGGGGATGATATTTGTAACAGTTGGCAACGAACGATTCAAGTACAACGGAAATAAATTAATAAAGAAAGAAAGAAAGAAAGAAAGAAAGAAGGTGTGGGAATTAAAAGAAAGAGAAAAGGGGAAAATGTGGAGAAAAAAAGGAAGAAAGGAAGAAGGAAGGAAAAAAGAAATTGTGATAAAAAAAGGGAATGGATGATATCAGAAAAGATGAAAAAGTAGATTGGAGAGAAAGTGAGAAAAAGAAAGAAAGAAATTTTGGGTAATATAAAAAAATGAAAGAAATTCGGTGTGGGGAATAAAACGAAAGAAATAAAAAAAGGGGAAGAAACAAAAAGAAGGAAAGAAGGAAATAGCAATAAAAAAAAGAAAGAGAAAATAATGAATGACACCCGAAAAAATATAAAACACGACTTAAAATATTGAAAGAAAAAAGAAAAAAAATATGGATAATGCAAAAAAGAAAGAAAAAAAGATTAGAATAAAACCAACAATACCACTTTCAAACCATACAGAGTCATTGAACTTAGCCTTTGCTACGATGGCTTCCTGTAGCTCGTTGGTGCAGCGATCTCGGAGTAAAAGTTTCTCACATCAAAACAGTGACTGGCTCTTTGTCTCTATTTCTATCATAAACTGGTGAAGATTATTTTCAAATCCCAACTCAGACAGGGTAACCCGCTAAGAATAACGTTTACAATAATAAGAAATTATATCGTATTAATTCTTTGAGCCCTGCATTCCTGAACAATTTTAACATTTCTGCCTGAGCTCCCGAGTCAAAATTCATAAATAATTGGTATGTAATTTTGTAGGGTAGATAAATATAGTGATAAGTGAATTCTTTTTTACTGGTAAAATTTACCAGTAAAAAAAGAATTCAGTTATCACCATATTTATACAAGAACGCACAATTGTAAAATTTAAATTCAAACTCAGCGTTGCGACTGCACGCTCCAAAAACAATAACTAATTTCTAATAGCATTTTTCGGATTACAACAATACATATATTTTCGTTGTCCTCTTATTACTGAGAGTAAAAAAACAAGAACAAAATCTATTCCATACCTGAGGGATGTCTGTAGGAACAGACGAAAGCTTGTAAAAAATAATAAGAACTTATGCAACAGAAATTTATAAAAACAAGGATCTTTTCATTCATAAACAGGTTCGGGGTTTTTGTATATTATTTGAATTGTTCGCGACGATGGATTTCTCGCCAATTAAATCATTAACCTTTGTATTTGTTTTTTGTATGAATAATTCATGAATTTGTAAATATATATATATATATATATATATGAAAGATTTAAAAAACAGAAATTATTTCCCTACTTTTAAAAAATCCTCATTCATGATGTTAAAATGTAAACAGGCTAAAGTTATGTTTAACCCGTTGAGCCTTGCATTTCTAAACAATTTTAAAGAAATTTTCTTTCTGTCTGAGCTCCTGAGTCAAAATTCGCAAATAGTTCAGTATATATATATATAGCATGTAATGTTTCACAGTAGATATAAAAAATAGTTACAAGTGTTTACCCACAGATCAACATGTGGCTGTGCATGAAGTCATTTTTCTCTACCACTGTTCAACCGGTGGCTAGGCATTATGTCATTAATTGATATGTAATATTTCATGGTTGATATAAAAATAGTTACAAGTGTTTATCCACCGTTCAACCGGTGGCTGGGCATTACGTCATTTTTCCCTACCACCGGCAAAGCTGCGGTCAGGGCTCAAAGGTTTTAAGCACTTCATTAGTTGTTTTAAAATTACTTTGTGTATCTATAGACTTTGAAATTTACCATCGAGAGATATGCATTTTGTTAATAGGGTGACTGTCTATTGCTTAGCTGTGGTAGCGTCCCGTGTCTCAATAGTAAAACACACTTAGCTTGACAATGTTTTAATTATCCTAAAGAAAGAGGATACTATTTATGTTTCTGTCGGGAGGTAAATTTCTTTAACAAAGAAAATTCCTGCGCTAAAATACATTAAAATAAAGAAATACATAATAAACAATTATGACCACTCGGAGACGTTTTTCCATGATTTATAACGCGTTTAACTGAAGTTTTTCTCGGGCGAATTACTTGGTAATCTAGAGATCAGGGGAGTAATGCGTGAATCTAAGCCAAACTGTCCCAATTTCAGCCTGGTCAAAGAGACAAGTGATCTGGCGTTGTTCTGATATAAGAAGACACTACTTTAAATTGCTTAATTCCGGGCACTTTTTATAGTTTGCTACTTTACTGATTGGCTAATTCAATAATTAAATGCGTAAGGTTTCTTACGGGAACCTTTTGTAGTACATGAAATAATGGTGGTGAAAAAGAGTACATGCACAAAATAACACACCAATTGATTTGCAATGCAGTCGATAAGATTTATTAAAAAAAATCTTAACAAAAGGCAAGTTTAAAACAAGACTCTCCTTTGTTAGATGTAAATTACATGCAAAAGGAAATGTTCATGAATATGTTATAGTGGGAACTGACTTCATTGGTGTGTTTTACGGGTATAGCGTTCACAGTCCTTTTAGCTTCAGTGTGGAAAGTTCATGACATCAGTTCGAAAAAGGAAAAACCCGGAAAAGAGAGAGAGAATTACTTTAGGGTTCACTTAATTTTATATTCAAGAGCTGCTGCTGCTGCTGCTAAGTTTTATTTTAGAGCTGCTACTGCTATTATGTTTAAGGCCACTACATATGTTCATTTCTAGTCACGTGCTGAGGTTACGGTGTTATATACCAACTGTCGTAAATGGGTCTATTTCCGGTAGTTGCCACTATTTTAATGTCAGACACAAACGTTACTGCCTGGAATATATTTTGGAACAGCAGAATTATTTATGCTAAGCACCCGAATTTCACATTTAATTCTGTTAATCTTTTGTTTGTTTAATTGAAATGCGACAAGAAATATCTGAAATAAAGTTTAATTTAACCATATATGTTTAGTGATTAGCTAATTCAATATTTAAATGTGTAAGGTTTCTAACGGGAAATGTTTTAGGACATGACTTCTAACAATAGAAATTATTATTCTAAACTTTCTTTGTGTTAATTTTGTTTTAATAAATGTTATCTTTGCATTGCAAATCAAATAGTTCGTTATTTTGTGCATGTACTCTTTTCCACCACCATTATTTCATGTCCTATGTCATGTTTTTTAGAACAAGAATTAATGGTGGTGAAAAAGAGTACATGCACAAAATAACAGACCATTTGATTTGCAATGCAAAGATAACATTTATTAAAACAAAATTAACAAAAAGAATGTTTAAAATAATACTTTCTTTTGTTAGAAGTAAATGGCATACACAACGAAATGATTATAGATATGTTTGAATGGGACTTGCGTTAGTGTGTTTTAGTGTGAAGTTTTCACAGACCTTTTACCTTCAGCGTGGAAGGTTTATTTCATCAGTGTGAAAGGGGAAACCCGGAAGAGAGTGTTACTTTTGGGTTCAAGATTTTTTCTTTTATATATATATATATATATATATATTCGAGCTGCTGTTGCTGCTGGTGGTGATAGGTTTATTTAGGGCTGCTACTGAGTTTAAGGGCTGCTACTGATATTCACTCGTTGGGGTGGGTAGGGTGATTGTCTGAATTCCGCAGAATTTTGTGGCAGTAGCTCATAATAATACATAAAGCCAGTTCAATTTTACCAGATACAAAATTTCTTCGGATTCAGAGCAGCTTTCAGTTTTTACCAGTACATCGTATCGCTCCACATTCTTGTAAACAAATCATTTTCCATCGTCTATGGTTGTTTTTTTTTTAAATTGGGAAAACAAAACGTTTTGTTGTGTTTAGGCGGAAAATCATATGAAGAAATGTAATCTAATAATATTTTACGATAGATTATTAATTTGTTTCAGCTAAATTGTAGAAAAGGAAAGAGAAAGGGGGCGAAGTTGAAGAGAAAATTTATGAAATATTAATGGAGATAAGCAGTGGCAGACTGGTCTAAAAATAACGGTTGCAAGGAGACAAAGCAGGTAAATGCAAACGTACAATGCTATCATTTAATTTTCGTAAAGAATAAATAAAATTTTCTCGGTATTTCAAAGGCTCAATAAAGCACTGCATTCAGTCTGCTCTATTAAGAGCAATCGTTTCAGTTTTCATATGTAGATACCAAATATGTATTTCTTAATAATTACAGTGTACATATTACTGGCATCAGATACCAAATCTGTATTTCTTAGTAATTACAGTGTGGATACTGCAGGCAGTAGATATCTAATGTGAATTTCTTAGTCGTTTCAGTGTTCATATTACTGACAGTAGAAACCAAAAGTTTATTTCTTAATAATTACAGTGTTCATATTACGGGCAGTGAATACCAAATGCGTATTTCTTAGTAATAACAATGTACATATTACTGGTAGTAGATACCAAATGTGTATTTCTAATAATAACAATGTACATATTATTGACAGTAGACACGAAATGTGTTTATCTTAGTAATTACAGTGTACATATTACTGGCAATAGATACCTAATGTGTATTTTTATTAATTACAATATAGATATTACGAGCAGTAGATACCTAATGTGTATTTCTTACTAATTACAGTGGTCATCTTACGGGCGGTAGATACAAAATATGTATTTCTTAATAATTACAGTGTTTTATATTACTGGCAGTAGGCAATAAATATGTATTTCTTAGTAATTACAGTGTTCATATACAAACGAATTCTTACAAAGAATATATATTTTAATCATATGAACCTCTCCTTAAAATCTTTTCAGCATTAAATAACTCATTGAAATATTGATAAGCCGAAAATCAAAATAAACCCCCAAAAAACAAAATAAACTCAAACCGAGCTATACAAACTGATTTCTTACAAAGAATACATATTCTCTTCAGACAAACCTATCCTGAAAAAAACTAGTCGGCATTAAATAACCCATTGAGGTGTTGATATGCCTTAAAACAAAATAAACCTAAACACTGATGTATAAACTGAAATCTTCCAAAGAATACATATTCTATTCATACAAACTTCTTGTCGGCGTTAAATAACCCATTGAGGTGTTGATATGCCTTAAAACAAAATATACCTAAACACTGATCTATAAACTGAATTCTTCCAAAGAATACATATTCTATTCATACAAACCTCTTGTAGGCGTTGTATAACCCATTGAGGTGTTGATATGCCTTAAAATGAAAACGGCGAAATACTCACGGTTTAAAACTAGTAATCATCAATTACAATTTACCAGTTTTTAGCTGATGTTTTAAAAAAAAAAAACAGAAGACTGCCGGAAACATTTAGAAAGAAATATTTTCTTCCATACTGTGAATGCATATGATCCTGACCATTTTGATTTGAGAAGAACCTTTATGTAAATCTATGGAACAAAGTGAATTTGGCAATGAGATAGA